TATGGACACAGAAAAATAACAACTAATATCTAACAGTTACATTTCCCTGCTTCGCCATTCAGAAAATACAAGTTTCACATTAAGAGTGAAAATCATTTCCTCATTCCAGCATGGGAGGCAACTGTGTGCTTACCAACTTTACTTGGTCAGTTTGGTTGGACTAAACTGATTGTGTTAATTTTATGTGATGCATTTTCAATATGACTAGAAAAGATAATCATTTTTTTCTAGTTATAGGTAATATCTAAAGAGTCCTATACAAAGTATGAAATTTATTTATCATCATGCATATTAGAGCCAAAGAGAATTGGATTTCCCGCACAGAAATATTTATCTATTTTAAGCCATTGGTGTGGTCTAACTTACCTTGTTAAGCTCCTTTAACTTTAACTGTGCAGGATTTCTAAATTAGGTTCCATACCCACGGCATCGTCAAAGCCACCAACTGCAGCAACCACATTGACGATGTTAGGAGGAGCAAGGATGTGGTTGCTGCCCAAATTGGAAAAACCATGACGGGAGTATTTGCTGCATAGCTGGTGCCGTGAGCAGGACGTGAAGCAAGAACCCGCATATGAGCATTCTGAGGGTCCAACGTGTCACCTGGGATACAAACAAGAGCAGATTTCTGGTCAGTAGTGAAGCTAAGACACTGTGTTCTCTTCTAAGCAGGTATCAAGAACAGGGTCAGAATGTTGCACAGGGTCCATGGTGTCACCAGTGTGGCTACCAGGAGCAAGGTCAGGGACAGCATGTGTTCTCCCCCTTGCATGCCCAGTATAAGTACCTAGAGGAGGTGTGTGATCCACGCTGGTGTTGTTAACAGTAGTTTCCTCAGATGATGGAATATTGTAACCTCTTTCACTAACGCTGATGGTGTTAACAGTAGTTTTTTCAGATGACCGACGATTGTCACCTCTTTCACTAACGCTGGTGTTGTTTACAGTAGTTTCCTTAGATGACGAAGACTGAAGATTGTCACCTCTTTCACTAACGCTGGTGGTGTTAACAGTAGTTTCCTCCGATGACTGACGATTGTCACCTGTTTCACTAACATGAGAAGTTGATGTGGCATCGGCATGGGCAGGAGGCTGGGGCACGATGTCATGCATATTAGGTGGAGGAAGGAAATCTTCTCCCTTCTTTGTTTCAACCTTTAAGGAAATTTTGAGATGTTAGATTTCATTGAAAATCTCACTTATTTTTGTTCATTTTAGAACTTATCTGTTAATGTCAGGGTCTTGATTTAGAGTCCCCAAATGTTTGTTTTCTCAGGCTAATTTTATCACATAACCGCTGATATCCTGAAACTTTTGCTTCCATTGGTTTAGTCAAAGGCCCAGAGTTTGAGAATCTTAAAAGGGGATCTATTCAGCTTTATGCCTTCTTTTCTACTGTTCTTTGCTACCGCTCTATAAAAGAAAGATGGAAAAAAAGACACAATGTGTCCTCTCCTGTCTTTATGACAAGGATTTTACATTCCATCCAGATTAAGAGAATGTGACAATCGGGGGCTTCGGAAACAAAAAGAACCTCGCTCTTCTGCACCACACTACTGCTTTCCCCATGGCTTTCACAATTGCCCATTAGGTTCCCGGGATAACAGAATAGTGAGGGTGACTTTTGAAATGCATGAATAAAGTGTGCCACTACCCACAGCACATGGAAACTATGGGGCTGAAGGAAGGGTTCTGGGAGATGCCATCCAAACTCTTACTCCTTAGCTATGACTGTTTTTATATATGGCTGATGAATGCAATGGCCTGTTCCAGCATCTCTGTGGTGGGTTGAATGAGAACAGACTCATGGGCTCATATATTTGAATGTTGGTTTCCAGGCAGTGGAACTATTTGGGGGGAAGGATAGGTGGTGTGGCCTTGTTGGAGGAGTTGTGTGGTCTTGGGTTTCAGAAGACTGGTGCCATTTCTAGTGAGCTCTTGGTTCCTTGTATAGATTTAAATGTAACTCTCAGCTGCTGCTACAGCACCATGCCTGCCGGCCTCAATCACGGTGGTGATGAAATTGTATGTATCCCATTGGAACCATGTGCCTTACTAGACCTGCATGGAGGTGGGTGGTCCTTGGACTTCCCACAGGGCAGGGAACCCTGATTGCTCTTCGGACAGACGAGAGAGGGAGGCTTGACTGGGGGAGGGGGAGGGAAATGGGAGGCGGTGGCGGGGAGGAGGCAGAAATCTTTAATTAATAAATAAATAAATATATTTAGGAAGTGCCAGTTTTGAAAATGCATTTGATGCTGTTTGTCAGAAGGAGAGCCTCCCCAACTTTTATTCCAATTACAAATAATGATGCTAGGCCTTAATCATTCATGACATCTCAGGGAGACTCCTAACTTAGCAGTCTATGTTTACCTTTCTGTACCAGGTTTGAGGAGGATTTGTGCTACTTATGTGAAATACTCAAACGTTCCAGAGCTTACGTAACATGATCAAACAATGTAGCGTGGAGATGGTAAACAAAATAGCTTGAGAAGCATTGTTTGTAAAGGAAAACAGATGAGGAAGTAACATACTACATGTGTGTCCGAACTGCTCAAGGGCATCATGTGAAAATGTTCAGTTCATTTGGTTTCCTTGAGAATGATGAGCGTGAACACATCAAAGCTAGAGATTTGTGAGCCTTAGACACATTTTCACACGCCATATGTTTCACTCATTGCTTCATCATTAACTAAATATGCTTAAGCCAGTTATAAAAGGGAAATGAAAGGGCCACATGGTACAAGTATGGTTTTCCAGGACACATGTCACATGGAAATTAGAAACACTGAAGATGACTGAGAGACCCTGAAAATATTTTCCTTATATGTTAGTTACACAACAGGAGTGCCAATGAATATATAGACACCATTTATTATCTGAATAATCAATATTGTATTATCCTAAAAATTACTATTGGAGTGTGTGTTTGCTTGTGTGCTTGAATTAATATGCCTGTTTGTGCTATGCTAGTGCGTGTGTGTATACGTACATGCATACATGTGTGCGTGCACGTGTGTGTGTGTGTGTGTGTGAAGGGCATAGGATAACTTTCAGGAGGCAGCTCTCTGCTTTCACTGGGTGAGACAGGGTCTCGCAATGTTTCTGTGCTAAGATCTCATTTCTATTAGTGATATTGTGGTTTGTATATTGTGGTTTGTATTCTAATCTTTTGCATATCCAAGGTGTTGGTCCCTTCACGCCAAGGGGAACACTCCATGGTTGCCACACTCATCACATTACCATTTACTTTCTGTATCAAACTAAAATTTTGACATTAGTCTAAAATTTGCATTTGTTTTAATCATGTCAATTTATATGCTAATGATTTTTCACTGAAATCTTGGAAGATGTCTGGCAACTGAATGTCTGTTTATTAAAATCACTTGAGATCTGTCTCCCTGCTAAGACCTCCCTTGACCAATGACTCACCTTGATCATACATAATAGCTAATATTAATTCAGAAACCAAGTTGGATTAGGCTTAAAAGAAAGAGCATTTGAGTTTGGTTCTGACAATATTAAAATTACAGTTACTAATGGTTTTATTAAGTGTCATAATTATGTCAAGTCTGCCCCTGTCTCTCCTAATGTTGAATTTAGATGGTTCAAGGTAACTAGCTAGTTGTTAGCCATTTGTAATGTTAAGTAGGGTATACAAACAGAGCGAGCTCTTCTGTTTGCTTTATACCTTCTGAAGGGTTAAAACACAAAAGAAAATTGTCCATTTCCTTTACATTTTCCACTTTTCTCAAATACAGATTTTTGACATATGACCTGATAATTCTCTGGATTTCCTCAGTGTCTGATGTTATGTCCCCCTTTTCATTTCTGATTTTGTTAATATGGATTTTGTCTCTCTTTCTTTTGATTAGTTTGAATAAGGGTTTGTCTATCTTGCTGATTTTCTCAAAAACCCATTTCTTTGTCCCACTGACTCTTTGTTTCATTTACTTTGTTTCTATTTTATTGATTTTAGTCTTCAAATTGATAATTTCCTGGTATCCACTCCTCCTGGGTGAGACTCCCTTTTTTGTTCTAGAGCTTTCAGGTGTGTTGTTAAAATGCTAGTGTGAGATTTCTCCAGGTTCTTTATGTAGGCACTTAGTGCTATGAATTTTCCTGTTAGTAATGCTGTCAAAGTATCCCGAAGAATTGGGTATGTCATGCATTCATTTTCATTAAATTCTAGGAAGGCTTCCTTTATTTTTCCTTGATCCAGGGGTAATTCTGTTGAGAATTGTTCAGTTTCCATGAATACGTGGAATTTTTGCAATTAGTGTTGTTGAATTCTAACTTTAACCCATAGGTGATCCAATAAGACACGGGGTTATTTCCACTTTTTTTAATCTGTTGAGATTTGCTTTGTGATCAAATATGAGGTCGATTATAGAAAAAATAACCCCGCAGAAACAGCTGACCCAAGGTTGTGGGAGCTCACTGGCTCCTGACTGACAACTAGGGAACTGGCACAGGACCAAACTAGGCCCTCTGAATGTGGGTGACAGTCATATGGTTTGGTCAGTTTTGTTAGTCCACTGGCAGTGGGTCCAGTATTTATTTACCCCTAGTATGTGAACTGGCTTTTTGGAACCCATTCCCTATGGAGGGATACTCTACTCAGCCTAGATACAGGGAGGATAGCCTTAGTCCTGCCTCAAGGGATATGACAGACTTTGTTGACTCCCCGTGGGAGACCTTATCCTCTATGAGGAATGAATGGGGAGTGGGGTAGTGTGGAGTGGGGTGGTGGGGAGTTGGGAGAGCAGGCAGAAGGGAGGGAGAGGGAATTGGGGTTGGTATGTAAAATAAAAAAGATTGTCTTAAAGAATAAAAGAAAAAGTAAAATAAATAAATAAAAAACATGATACAAAGAATCAGAGTGTATATTATTGTCAAGTACAGAGCAAATATCCAGAAACCAAAGTATTACTATATGGTAATTGAATCTTCACATCTACAATTGCTGGCTAATTGGGGAAAAAATACTTACTGTGCACCTGGAGGAAGAGTTGTCAATATCCTCCTAGTGAAATCAAATAGAAAACAGTCTGTAATCTCTTCATAATGAAAACTTGGTTGAACAGATTACAAATAGCTAAATTTCCAAAATTTCTTGCTAATATAAACACAGAAGAAAAGAGACAAACAGAGGAGATGCTTTTATCTGTGATCCTGAAATAGGACTATCCAAGGGAAGAGACAACCTACCTGCAATTATGCTGAGAGAAAAGGCACCTGGGTGATGCCTGGACCACTACAATAACTGGACCCTCTAAAATGTATTCAGATGTATCACCACAGTTGTTTTAAAAATCAGTCTAATGTGTATCTATTTCTGCAAACCATCCTTGATCAAGCACCAGGCATCTTCTAATATATGAGAACTGCACTCAATCTTCCACTCCCTGTGTTTCCAGTTCATTCTCCTATTGGCCACCGCTATCTGCAAGGACTTACTGCTCACTGGAATTTATAGAAAGGATGGTTCACTGATACCAAACACTTTTCTCTGACCAAATTTCCATATAAAACTGTGATAGGTAGAGTACTGCTGCATTTTAACAAAATTCATAAGGAAACAAATTTCACAAAGGAGAATTTTACCTTAATAGCAGAGGTGGTGGCCGTGTCCTCTGTTGTAACATGAGGGTTTTCAGAGAGCCTTTAGAATAAAAGCATGCAGTGAGGGGTGAGTTTGGTCCTTAGAGCATCTCTCTTGAAAGATTTGTTATCTGTGCACTATATTTTTGCATTTATGTAATTCAACGTTGACCCAGGTTTTAAAAAGTTTTTACTTTGGCAGTTTCAACTTGTCTCAATCTATGTAACATTCAGTGAAGACTCACTCATAGTTCTATTTAAAAATAAAAATTTAAAAAGCCAGTGGTTTGGGAGATGGCTCAGTCAATAAGAATGTTTGCTGCCAACACAGAGCAACCTGAGTTTGAATCCTCAGCATCCACATAAAAAACTGGGCATGGACACATGCACATGTACCCCAGTACTGTGGGTGGAAGAGACTACCAATTGGGCTTGTTGGCTGCCAGACCAGCTCCAGCGTCAGTCAGAGATCTTATGTCAAGTGGATAAGTTAGAGAATGATGCAAGACACCAATATCCTCCTCTTTCCCTCATGTCTGCACAAAAAAATATGCAAAGCATGCAACAGGCACAGACACATGCACACGTGCAACACACACATGCAACACACACACACACACACACACACACATCCAATCACATAAGAGGGGGAAATGGCGAGTTTTGCACACACTTGTTATGATGGTTGCAGTAACTGATGGTTTTGAGCACTTAATGCTCCTATTTCATTTGTTCCCCTAAACCTAATGTACCATGGCCTGTTTTTTGTAAAAAAAAAAAAATTAGGCATTTCATTTCATAGCACTCTCTTCAAAGAGTTGCTCTGGGAAAACATGAAATGGACTCTATGTCTAAGCATTAAGTTGCCATCAGTCTCAGAAGTCATATTTTGGTGCCTTGAAGATTTGATAGTGTGTCCACATGCATATGTTGAAACTCTTTATACTCAAGGGTATTTCTGAGTCATTTTATAGGACACTAGGGAGCAACACTGTCCCCTCAGCTTTGATTCATCGGATCTACAGCTAAAAGTTCCTAATTTCAGGGTTTCTGATTGACAAACTCTGGAACAAACACTTTCTTTTTGTAAGTTCCACCTACCTAGGGATTCACCACAGAGGTGGAACTCATTAAGAGGGAAATAAACCTGCTAACCAGAAGCATGTCTATAAGGCCATTCTGAGGTGATTTTCTCAGCAAAGTTTGGGAGAGTTTTGCCCACACTCTTCCCAGCAGACATCTTGTCCCAAACATACTAGTAAACAGGATTAACAGCCTGAAAACTAATATTTTTACATATATGTAACTGCATGTTATGTGCAGTGTATTTGTAAGTATGTATGATTTCAGATAAATACATGCCAATGTATAGGTGTGGTGATTGGAGTACAGACTTGGGTGTCGACCCTCACCCTCAGCCTTAGTTATATGGCTGAATCTCATTCATGAATGCAAGCCCCAGGCTAGCAATCCAGGCAAGACATCCAGAAAAATGTGAGAGTATGCTCTGTCTCCACCTGCAATCTCACCAAAGCTCACCAGGATTTTAGAAGCGCACAAGACCAACAGGCCTCATGTGGACCCTGGGCATCCATCTCCCATTCTCCCATATGCACAGCCAGCATTTTATGTGCTGAATCACCGCCACAGACAGGGAGTCCTAACATCATTGCACGCTGTATCTGAGGCATAATTCAGCTTTCATTAGCGAATAATCAAGAAGCTAAAATTGTCTTAAACAGAGGAAAACTTGGTGCCAGCTTCTGAACTTTATATTCTCTACATACTGTATTTAAAATCCAGACATTCTTACCTGAGTGGGATTTGGTCTTGATTTCTTCCATTATCTACAGAGTAGAAAGGCAAAATATGTTATAAGTAACTGTAGAAAAAAGAGCATTGAATGCCAAAGCCAATGCTTTGTTACTACATATACCTTGAATCTGTGTAGCCTTCAAGGTGAATACTGATTTATAGACAATAAAAACAAGGATAACTCTTAATTTACACTTCTTTGTATGTTTAAAATACAGAGACAATTTTATCAAAGTCGATACTAATAATAAATTGGTATACAAAATACCTATGATCATGAGCATTATCAAACAGAGAAACTGACATCTTAACCAGAATCAATATCACAAGCTGAAGTGTTAATTGGTAGCACAGTGTTGCTGCTGCTGGATTTATCTCTGGACTAGTGGTGTTAGGAGAATTGCAAGTGAGCATACTCATCTTGCATGGAAGTGAAAAGAGCCTCTCTAAAGATTAAGTTGAACTTATTTCGTTGACGATGAAAATTCCAGACACAGGGAAGCTAAGTCTATGAGGACTGCTCTTTGCAGCATAGCAAAAGTTAAGAAACACAGGTAGACCAAGGGCAAAGAATTTCCAGATGCCAGGGTGGCAAAGCTACATACAGAGAGAGAGGGGGCATTGTGTGCTCTCTCCTCAAGTGCTTCTGAGGAAGATGCAGAAGCCCCTCAATTCTAGCTTCTGGTCCCTTGCTAATGGGCAGTGCAAAGAACCTCAGCACTAGCTGCTATCACCTCCCATGGTAAGAGCTATGGGAAAGCCCCCTGCAGTAGTTATGACCCTGAACTGTATCTCCAGGGCGAGAAGCATGGAAGAAACATGGGGAAAAAGCAGCAATTCCATGGGAGTAGTACCTCACAGGAAACGTTTGTGTCCACACATACACAGCTTCAAGTGAGCAGCTTTCACTGCATGCTAACAGCCTGCCCTCTACAAAGGAATAAAGCAAATTTTTGCTTATTTCATTCACAGTATGGAAACTGCAGTATAATCTCCTTGACATTGCCTATGGCTGAGGCAAAGCATTTGTCCCACCAACAAATGGACTGCCAATGAGGCTTAGCATGTGAGAGACCTCCATCAACCATCGTCACCACAAAGGAAATTTAGTGTGGAAATAATGTAAAGGACAGTCACCCACATTACAATAATACTGACTCTTTTCAATAAAGTCTTTCAGACCCTCTACACTCCACATACTCCTATTCACTTGATGCTGTGCTCTCTATAGGCAAGGCAGGTGTGAAAGACACTGTGGTGACAGCGGAGAGCCCAAACTCTGCAGTGTTCCTTCCACTCTTAGAATCTTATCCAGACTCAGTGGACCAGTCAGTGCTGTCCCCTGCAGAATGATGCTCTTTTCTCAGCCTTCCTCCTACTGTGGCAAATTGTTCTGGAAATTATGTCTATCAGCATATAAACCAAGTATCACCATATCCTCCACTAATAAAACCAAAGGAAAAGGTGCTGGCGGTATAGCCATTAGGGCGAGCACTAGTCTAGAATGCTTAGAATGGCAATGTTCAATCCGCAGCACTGCCTACAGGACTCAAAGTCCATTTTTTAAAAAAGTTGACCAAGCCTATTATTTCGTATGCCAAGAAATAGTCAGATTAAATAGCAGATAATTAAAGATAAACATAAAACCATATGTGAATTTTCTAATATGTCTAAGTAGAGAAATTACAGAAAGGAACAAAACCCATAAAATGTAGTTAATTTAGTTCTCAAAATCCTTAATGAAAGTAATTGAATACTGTATTTCTGTTTTTTACATGATCACCTTTCATTGACACTAATATATATGTAGCAAAAATGTAATATATTTATTATAAAAATGAAAGAAAAATTCATTTTATAACAAGCAAAATTGCTGTCACATAACTCTAGAGGACACATACTGTGGACTAGTTAGAGGTCCTTATATTTATACAAAGATACTGTGTGCATCAGTGGCTATGTTAAATAAATAAACATGGTTCAGATAATATAGTTTGATACTGAAATTTCTCAGAAAATCATTTCTGAAATAATTTTGAATGTGAAGAACATTAGGAGGCAAATTTTAAAACATGAAATTACGTTTATATCTTATTTACTTTGTTCCTTTTTTGAATGAATTAAGTTGCTATTGAAACTAGGGAAGTAGCAGCAAAGTATTCATGATTACTCTTACCTCCACTGATCTGAAGAGACTTCTTAAGTATTGGTTTCAGCTCTCCAGGTGGTCGTATGCCGCTGTTGCATATTTTAAAATGTAATATCTTAATATTCATACAAGAACATTTACCAAATGCTTTGATTATTTGATGTTTGATTTCCTAACATACATTAGAGATTTACAGTCAAGCATTAACTTGTCCTTCAATCAGTTGATTAGGTTTGGTGACACTTTTTTAAAACTTTTCCCATGTGAAAGAAAGGAAAGATTTAGTCCACAGAAATTAGTCCACCGAAAGCATAGACACACATGAGGGAGACAAAGAGAGAAAGACAGAAAGAGATAGAGAGAGAAAGAGAGACACACAGAGAGAGAGAGAACACCAAAGACAGTAGTTTCTTTCCAGCACATTTTTTAAAATTGTAGTAACTGATGGTCACTCTTGTGCTCAATGTAATTAGTACCCCGATTCCATTTGTCATGTCATCATCTGTTCCTAGAGCATCACAGAACCCCTCTCTCTCAGGTTACTTCGTGGGCTCTCAATGCTTGTGATGCTATCTCTCACAAGGTTTGTTTGTGGACCATAGAATAGATTCCTGCTTCTGCTAGCACTCTGACAAGATACCATGGCCTAGGCTATGCTCAAGCTGCCCCTTAGTAGTCCATTCATGAGTGGACTTGAAACTACAATCGGCCTGTTTCTATGCCAAATGAGCATTGCTATTCACTTAACGAGATAAAAATATGAACAAACAACAATAAAACTCAGTGGATAATTTCAGGTTATTAGCTTGAAACAGTTTAGAATTCCCAGTAGAAGAGAACATGGTTTTTACAAAGTGTGTCTTTGAACAGTTGTAGCTACTGTAATTTATGAATCTGCACTTTGGACCTTTTAACTTGGAGTAATTTATTAATAAATAATTAGTAATAAGCAATTTACTAATGTGTATCGAATGCTTTATGATACATGTTCCCACAAATGTTAACACAATTGTCCTCTATTATGGAAGTAATCAATTAAGATGAGCACAGAACTAGCTTGACATACCACCTTTAATTTTCTGCCAAATCAGTGTCTGAGATAGCAGATCACTGACAGAAGGGGCCTTTTACTCTATGTTCATGTCCTACTGATGGGGAAGACAAAGCCCCTTTTATAGACACATAAAGAGTAAACATGCCACAGTTTGGCTCTCTACATCCAGATAATCTACTGAGATCCAGAGACTTCATTACTGTAGAAAACAGCTCAAAGGAATGGACAAGTGATGGATGGAGCACTGTAGTAGGAGGAAGGCATGGGATCTTCCACCATCTATAAAAGGGTCCTACACAGAACAAAAGGGCCTCTGCATGTGGAGATGGTGTCAAAGGAAGAAAGTAATTTGTTGGCTTCTTGTAATACTGTGTGATAATGCAGAATGATCCCAAATCCTGTCAGCTCTCAGAATGACAAATGCGATGAAGACCTAGTTCACTAGCTGATTTCAGAAAAAAATTGAAAAGGCACTAAGTGTCAGATGGACATAGAGAGTGTGGTTATCATCAGTAGGCTCATTTTCCAAAACGCAGAATTGGTACTTGGGACATGATGGTTGAGTATACAACTCATGACCACGATCTAAAAACAACAATATTTCTGGCTAAAATACATTGATAATACTATGGGGATTGTAAGACAAAGCAAAAATTGAGTGTATAAATCAGCATCTATCTGAGAATACAACCAATAATTGGCTTGTTATCTTGGAATTTCCTTAGCATTATTGTATTCTTAGACCTTACCTGCAAAAAGGCTTCTTATTGGTATTGTAATGTACTTCTAAAAAAATCAAAATGAATTTGTTACAATGCTAGAGAAATATAACATATAAAATGATTAGATACATAGTATCCATTTTTGAGACTAATCTAGACTATTCTAAATACTCTTTTTTAGGAAATTTGTTCATGTAGAATTAATCCATTTTGTTTATTTCAAATCAAACAAGACTTAAACTTATCAAGCACAATACCTAAAAATAAACAATCACCCTGTGATTCCCAAGACAGTCAGAACTACATAATAATAAAACTGTGTCTCACAAACAAAACAACATATTCAAAATGGAAAACAAGATCCATGGGCCTATACATATTTTTGTTCTTCAAGGAAACAAAGAACCTTGTTGAGCCTTTTAGTTAAAATTGTTCATTTTATCAGGCAAATTCCTACCACTGGGACTATATGTATTGTTTCTGTCTTTTGTATCAGGATGAAACCTGGCAGAAAGAAAGAGAAGAAGGACAGAGACTTTTACATAACAGCTCAAGGGAGGGCAGGCATCAAGCTTCCTCTCCTCATCCCCTTTGGGGAAAGAATATCCTTAGTTCCATCTGTGTTCCAGACTTATATGCAGCTTAAAGGAGGCTCATGATAGCAGGCATCATCTCCCCTGAAATGAATTACTGGAAAGATCTCTCCCTTGGGAGTAATAACACCAAGCTCAACCTCAAGTGCAAGAGCATCAGAGAAGCAGCTGTGAGGCTGGAGCAGCAAATTCCATGGGCTTCCTTCTGACATAGGATCATTGTACAAGTTCACATATGTAAACAATAAACTCACTCAATCCTTCACTGTTCACTTGCAGTTTGCTTTTAGAAATGAAACATTGGAGGCTGGCAGTGGTGGCTCACACCTTTAATCCCAGTGCTTGGAAACAGAGGCAGGAGGCTCTATGGGAGTTCAAGGCAAGCTTGTGTAGAGAATACATTAAAGGGCAGGCTCCAAATATACATACAGAAACACCCTGTCTCAAAAAAAATCCTAAAATAAACATAAACAAACAAAAAAAGAAATGAAATCATTCATTTTTGTCTTGTTTAAAGTCAAGGAAACTTAGTGTGCCTTTTTAGCATTCCCCATGTCTCAGGACAGCCACTTGAGCCACCAACGAGTGGACTGGGATTGCGGCTCAGTAGGAAAGCCTATGCTTATTATGCAGGAGGCCTCAGTCAGTTCTCACCACCACAGATGCCATGAACAGCAAACTTCATAATACAGTGACACAAAGCTGTCTCCATCACAATAATATTGACTCTCTTCATCTTACCTCTTGAGAGAAGAGGGTTTTGCATTCTCTACTTAGTGTGGTTGCCACTGGCAGCTTAGGTATAAAAGACACTGTGATGTCAGTTGGTGAAAGTAAATACTACGTGGTGTTCCTGCCACTGCCACAAAGTCTCTCCAGACTCAACGGAGAAGCAGATAATTATTTGAAATACAGAATGATGTCATTTTCTTCACTTAGCTTTTTGTTTCAATTTTTTTTAAGATTTATTACATCTACAGTGTTTTGTCTGCATATATTCCTGCAGGCCAGAAGAGGGCACCAGATCTCATTACAGATGATTGTGAGCCACCATGTGGTTGCTGGGAATTGAACTCAGGACCTCTGGAAGAGCTGCCAGTGCTCTTCACCTCTGAGCCATCTCTCCAGCTCCTTGTTTCAGTTTTTATTCTTGAATCATGCTTTGCAGCATGGAAATGATATACACCCTTAGCATGTTCTTTTTAACAAAAACAGAAGGCAGAGATTATGGGTAGGGTACTTGCCTACAATGCTCCCAAAGCCTTATGCTCAACCTCTAGCACTTCACAGAAAAAAAAAGAAAGAGAGAGAGAAAGAAAGAAAGAAAGAAAGAGAGGGAGGGAGGGAGGGATTGATTTAGGGATGGGTGGAAGGAATGAGGGGAGGCAAGGAACAAGAAAAAGAAAGAAAAGGAAAACATATAAGGATTGTTAAGTCTTCCTAAAATCAATGCATTCACTGTAAAAGAAACACTTCCACCCTAAAGTAGGAGATTTCTAAAGAAAACAACTATACAGTATGCCAAAACTTTCCAAACTGAGAACTTTCACAGACATTTAAGAACTCAGATGATTTAATAACATCATAAGGTAGGAAATTAGTTAATGAAAATAATTGATTAAAGTTTTTTTGTGACTTAATTTTACTTTAGTGGCAGTGAGATGTGTTAGCGATATGCAGTGCAAAATACAAGGCATTTGTCATAAACTCAAGGAGAATCTGTATTTCTGACAATCCTATTTGCTGCAATGTGACTATGGAAGACATGTGCTGTGTAAAGATGTTTTCTCATTTATTCAAAGGCTGTACAGATATCAACATTAAAGTGAAATAAGCAATGTTTTGACAAAAATACTTCACACTTGAAAGTGCTTGATTTATACTTGTTTTCCTTAACTCCTTTTTGGGGTCTAAAAATCTTTACTCTTCCTTATTCCTTCTTCTTCGGGGAAGGTAGGACAGATGGAGTAATTCTTACCTTTGTTGAAGGTGACACACTTTTTCTTTCTCTGCTCTGGCTCTCTTGTCATTGTTCCTTCACTGTGACATATGTTGAAAGTGATCATCATTTAATTATCCATATAAAAACACTTAGCATGTTTATAAATTCTTTATTTTTGAGTCCCTCATACATCTTACGTTACATATTTACAAAAACATTTTTTGAAACAGGATCTCATTATGTATTCCAGCTAACTTTTAATACACTATATGTTTTGTGTTTGTCTTGAAATCAAAGAGATCTATGCCTCCTGCCTCCCACATTCTGGGATTAAAGGCATGGGCAAAGAGGCTGAGCCAAATAATTCTGAATTCATTCTTCAACAGTTGGTGATGATTAATGACTGCTCTCCTTTCCACCTTTCCTCATGGAGAATAACATAGAAAATTTAGCTCTTGATTAAAACAACACACACACACACACACACACACACACACACACACACACATCCAAGCACACAAGACAGGGGAATGGCTGTTTTTCCACACACTTTGTTCTGATGGTTGCAGTAACTGACTGTTTTGTGCTCTAAGTAAGTAATGCTCCTATTTCATTTCTTCCCCTAAACCTACAGCACCTTGTCCTGTTTTCTGTCAAGAAACTTTTTAGGCATTACATTTAGTCACTCACTCTCTCCAAGAAATTGCTTTGGGAGCAACATCTTGATCTGAACATCAAACATCAAAAAATCTAAACCTCAAGCTGCCAACAATATCAGAATTCACCATATTTTGGTGATTTGAAGCTGCTTTATTGGTAGTCTGTGCGCAAGTACATGATGAAATTCTTTTTTTTTTGTTTTTTTTTTTGTTTTGTTTTTTTGAGACAGAGTTTCTCTGTAGTTTTGAAGCCTGTCCTGGAACTGGTTCTTGTAAACCAGGCTTGCCTCGAACTCACAGATCCGCCTGCCTCTGCTTTTCTGAGTGCTAGGATTAAAAGCATGCACCAAAACCACCTTGATCTATGAGGATCCTCTTTATTCGCAATGGCCAGTACTTCCTGCACAAGTCTTGAGTATTTACAGGGCACTGCAGAGCAATACAGTACCCTCAGCTCTACTCCATCTGAACTACAGCTAAGAGCTCCAAATTTCAGGGCTTCTAGTTGGTAAGCTCTGGACCAACCAGTTTGTTTTTCTAACTTCACCTACCTTGTGAGTCACCACAGTTGGGTAACTCATTAAGGGAGCTATTAACCTGCTGGACAGAAGCATGTCTATAAGGCCATTCTGAGGTAATCTTTAGCAAAGCCTTGGAGAGTTTTGAACCTTGCCATATTATTCACACTCTTCCCACAGACAACTCAAACAAACAAATTAGTGAAAAAGATTAATGACTTGAAAATGGATCCTTTTACATATATGTGCAAAATATGTTATATGCTGTGTATTTCTATGTATGTGTGATTTAAGATAAATACATGCCAGTGTGTAGGTGTGGTGATTGGAATATAGACTTGGGAGTTGACCCTAACCTTAAGCATTAGTTTACTAGCTGGGTCTCTCACTCATGAATGCAAACCTCAGGCAAGCAATCCAGAAAATGTCAGGAGATGCTCTCTGTCCACGTGCAATCTCATCATAACCTCACCAGAATTTTAGAAGCACACAAGACCAACAGGCCTCATATAGACCCTGGGAATCCGTCTCCCATTTTCCCATATACACAGCCAGCACTTTACCCACTGAATCACCTCCACAGACAGGGAGTCCTAATAGCATTTCATGCTGTATCAGAGGAATAATCAGTTATTTAAAACTATATGCTTCTCCATAGATAAATATTCAGCTTTGATTAGCATATAATCAAGAAGCTGAAACTGCCTTACACAGAGAAAAACATGGTGGCAGCTTCTAAACTTTATATTCGCTACATGCTCTGTGTATTTTAAAATCCAGACATTCTTACCTGAGTGAGACCTCATCTTTTAGTCTTCGACTACCTATAAAGTAGAAAACCAAAATATGTTATAATCAATTGTAAAATATAAGAACATTAAATGCCAAGGCCAATATTTTTTACTACATATACTTTGTCCCCAAATGAGTTTAAAATTTAAAGTGAATATTGATTTATAGACAACAAATATAGATAACTCTTAATTGAGACTTCTTTGTATGTTTCAAATAGAGACAAAATTATCAAAAGTTACTACTTATAATAAATTGGTGTACAAAACACCTATGATCTTGAGCACTATAAGACATCTTAGCCAGAATCAATATCACAAGCTGAAGTGTTAAAGCAGTAGCACAGTGTTGCTGCTGTTGCTTTGTCTCTGGACTAGTGGTGGTAGGAGAATTGTAAGTGAGTATACTCATCTTGTATGGAAGTGAAAAGAGTTTCTCTAAGGTTTGAGTTGACCTTATTCCATTGAAGATGAAAATTCCAGACACAAGGAAGCTAAGTCTATGGTGACTGCCCTTTGCAGCATAGCAAAATTAAAACAAAACAAAACCACAAGCAGACGAAGGACAATGGCCCCTGCAAAGAATTTCAAACTGATAGGTTGGCAAAGCTCCAGAGAGGGGTCAAGGTGTGTACTCTCCTTAAGTGCTTCTGAGGAAGCTGCAGAAGCCCCTCAGTTCTAGCTTCTGGTCCTTCACTAATGGGCAGTGCAAAGAAGTTCAGCATTAGTAGCTATCACCTCCCATGGTAAGAGCTATTGCAAAGCCCCCTGCAGTAGTTATGCACCCTGAACTCTATCTCTAGGGTGAGAAGCATGGAAAAACATGGGGACCTAGCAGCAATTCCATGGTAGTAGTACCTTACAGGAAACATCAGAGTTCCCAAAGACAATGTATCAAGCTCCACTGCATGCTAAAAGCCCGCCCTCTGAAAAGGAATAAAGCAAATTCTTGTTTATTTTATTCACAGTATATAAACTGTAATATAACTTCCTTGGCATTGCCTATGGCTGAAGCAGAGTGTTGGCCCCACCAACAAATGGACTGCCAATAAGGCTTAGCATGTGGGAGACCTCCATCAACCCTCTTTACCACAATGAAAATCCAAGGTGGTGCCTGTTCACCTGCAAGCTCTGTGGAACCCTAAAACACAGTTTGTTCCAACACTGACGGGCCCCAAGAGCCTGCAAGCTCCGTGGAATTCTGAAACATAGCTTGCTCCAATACTGAGGAGACCTACGAGACAGCCACAGCAAAAATTGGACCAAGATGCCAAGACTCTGCTGGCCTCATTTGAAGGAAGAGATGGTAGGTGCCTATGCAAAAATTCCTCCAATATCCTAAAACACAGCATGGTAACACGAGAATCCAGTAGACACACAAAAGGAAGACTTGACCATTCTAACCCAGATGTAGAAGAAAACGACTTTGAACATAACTTTATGAAAATGATGAATACCTTTAAAGAGGAAGTGAAAATCTCCCTTAAAGAAATTGAAGAGAAGATAAACAAAGTTGGAAGAAATGAATAAATCCCTCAAAGACACCCAAAAATACCCATGATAAAACAATCAAAGAAGTGAAAGAAACAGTTGAAGACTTGAAGACTGAAATACATGTAATAAAGAAAATACAAACCAAGGGAATTGTGGACATGGAAAATCTGGGTAAATGAACAGGAGCTACAGAGACAAGTATAACCAACGGAATATAAGAGATAGAAGAAAGAATCTCAGGTGCTGAACATACTATAAAGAAAATACTCATTGGTCAAAAAACACTAAATCCAACAAATTCTTAACACAAAACATTCAGGAAATCTGAGCTACCATGAAAAGGCCAACACTAAGAATAATAGGAGTAGAAGAATAAGAACTCCAGCTCAAAGGCACAAAAAACATATTCAGCAGAATTATAGAAGAAAACTTTCCCAACCTAAAGAAGGATATCCCTATGAAGACACAAGAAGCTTACAGAACACCAAATAGACTGGATCAAAAGAATAGCATCCCCTAGCCATATAATAATCAAAACAAAGAACATACAGAATAATGAAAGAATATTAAAAGGTGCAAAGGAAAATGGTCAAGTAATATATAAGGCAAACCTATCAGAATAATGCCTGACTTCTCAATGGAAACCATGAAAGCCAGAAGGTCCTGGATAGATGTGTTGCAGACACTAAGAGACTATGGATACAAGCCCAGGCTACTATACTCAGCAAAGCTTTCACTCACCATCTATGGATAAAGCAAGATACTCCATGACAAAAGCAGATTTAAACAGTACATATCCAAAAACTCAGCCTTACAGAAAGTACTAGTAGGAAAACTTCCACCCAAGGAAGCTAACTACACCCACAACACCACAGAAATCTTACTAAAAGAATGTTTCTTACTAACAGAAACATTACTAAAACTTAAATCATACATCAAACCACACATACTAATAGTAGGAGATTTCTTTTTTTTTTTTTTTCGAGACAGGGTTTCTCTGTGGTTTTGGAGCCTGTCCTGGAACTAGCTCTGTAGACCAGGCTGGTCTCGAACTCACAGAGATCCGCATACCTTTGCCTCCCGAGTGCTGGGATTAAAGGCGTGCGCCACCATTGCCCGGAGATTTCAACACTCCTCTCTATCCAATGGACAGTTCAACCAGACAGAAATTTAAGAGAGAAATAAGATAACTAACAGATGTAAAGAATCACATGGACTTAACAGATATCTATAGAACACTCCACCCCCCACCCAAAAAAAAAAAAAGAACTCACTCAGAAGGAGTAGAAGAAGGAAATAATCAAACAGAGGGCTGAAATCAACAAAATAGAAACACATAAAACAATACAAAGAATCAATGACACAAAGAGCTGGTTCTTTGAAAAAAAATCAACAAGATTGACAAACCGTTATCCAAACTAATCAAAAGATGGAGAGAGATCATTCAAATTAACAAAATCAGAAATGAAAAGAAGGACATAACAACAGACATTGAGGAAATTCAGAAAATCATTAGGTCATTCTACAAAACCTGTACTACACAATATTGGAAAATGTAAAAGAAATGAACAGTTTTTTAGATAGATACCATATACTCAATGCACCAATCAGTGCTGTCG